AAAATTTTTTATTTAAAATAAATAAAAAAATCCCTTTAACTTTATTTTTTATCTTTAATGGGCCCCCCCCCCCCCCCCATCCCCCACTTATACATGTTTTCATCGTTTGATTCAATGAACGAATGATTTTAATATGTTTTGTTATGTAAGTCAATTGTGTAAGCAATAAAAGAATCTTGCAACTGTAGGTGTGTAAATGCGTCATCATACAACATTCCTTTGGGGAGTAATTACGTTTACGAGGAAAAATATCATTTGGAAGAAAAGGTGAGATAATAAGTATATGTGTTTTTATTTGTTTTCTATTAACATCAGAATAATAAAGAAGCACGTTTTTGTGCACTTATAGGCATGACCAAGCGTGACGGAATTTTACGGCGAAAACAAACCTTCTAAAAATAGTTATCATAGGTAGAGAAGCATGAGTTCTACTATTTCATTGGAACTAGTTAGGTCATATAAAGTTACTGAAAAAATAGACGTCGTGACGGATTTTCAAAAAATGGAATTGTTTTGGATGTTTAGAGACTTTCGCATTTTTCTTCAGACTATGTAGTGGTACAAGAAAATGTTGTAGTTGAAAGTTGTTCACCTTTTAACGAGCTTTCAGAATATCTACTTGGCTTTTACAAGAGATTACCGAGTCAAATAAAAATGTCAAAATATCCTTCGCGACAGAATTTCACTCTTTTTTGTATGCTTTCATTGCAGAAGGTTAAAGTCAAAGGCGAAGATAATCAGAAAAAGATATTTTTCAGAGTAATATATAAACTTAGATGTGATCTGGTTGATGCTATTTAAAATAAAGTTATGTTTTTATAATGTATATAAGTTTGTTTTTGCTGAAACTTTTGTTTTTTTATTTTCTTCTGTTTTCCTTTTTCGGCAAAATGTGCACCTCGTGATCTATAGAACTATGAAAACTAGAAAAGTTCTGGGAAATGTAGGATGTTCTCTCGACATTGGGGATTCGTCATTGCACGTTTTCTCTCAAACAAAGGTCCAGATTCGATGCCATAAACGCTACAAGTGAAAGAAGAATGTTTTTTGGACGTTGAAAATGTTTCGTATATTCAGTTGTCCGTTGGCATTTATTCTTCACAGGAAGAATAATTATCTCTCTCTCTCTTCTTCAAATGTCGTTTTGATTTTATTTTTCTTACAGCTATTTTTTAAAGTGACTGAAATCACAACGAACGTGATGTGATGAGGTTCCTGTTTATTAATTTTGAAAATTGTTCTATTGATTCTGATCGATCAAGTTTGACTGTGTGACAATTAAATTATACTTCAGTTAATTCTAAATGAAATCATACTTGACAAAATTGTTCAAATAATGAATGTATTGTTTTATCATCATTATCATTTGATAAATAGTAATCAGTTTCACTTGTTGACGCTGCATTATGTAAAATTCACTAATTATATTTTTGTAGTAAATAAATAAAATAA